CGTCAGTGGCTGGCTGGGTTGCAGACATCAAAACAAGCAGGTAGGCTTCGCCCTCCCCGCGTTCTAAAAGCGGAATAAATAGGACTCGGGTGGGTGGTTGAATGGGCCCGGGAGCGTAATGTCTAAATGTTCCGGAGGTGCGTGCGAACAAATTTGACGTCCGAAACAAGGTGCTCTTTCTCGTTTCCATCGGCGATACATTTTTCTAGAGAAAAAATGCTTCTCTTTGTTAGGCTCTTTTAGCTCAGCTTTTTAGCGAGCCGGCTTTTATGTACGAAAAAATAAGTACTCTCAGGCAGTGTGTTTATTTTCCATTCATGCGAATACTGATCAATACTGAAGACTCAAACCAAGAGCAATTTTCAATCTCGTCGATTACAAAGCAAAAGAATAAATAAATTTATAGATAAATTTGTAAATTGAATAAATCATCTTCTGTTGTTTTTTTTTTAATAAGAAAAAAATTATTTCATCGGTAATGCACGGTCCTTCTATTTTTGTTCTAAATTAAAGAATTCTATTCAATTCCAATTTTACATGATTATTTAAAAATTAGTTTTAGTTTAAAAAAAATTTAATAGTTTAATAGTCGTGAAAATGTTAATATGTATATATATTAAAGAAATGAACAAATTTAATATTTTGTAATAATTTTAATTTTTTTCAGAGGTGAATTTAAATATAAAACCTTGTTATTTACAAATGATAATTAAACCATATTTAAATACATTTAATTAATTTTGTTTGCTTATGCTATTTTTTTACCAGGTTCAGAAGGAACAAAATTTATAATAGTTACTGTATAAATTTTTACTATTTTAGAATTTTTTTAGTGATTAAAAACCCTGGATTATGATGTAATTTCCAGTATAGCAACAGCCATTTTGTAATTTATGAAAATGAATTTACCAAGCGCAGTCATTTCCAGCTGCCGCTCATTAACGAGCATAATTACATTGGACTTATTAATAAATGATTCAGATTGATGCATCATCCGTGGTAAATAATTTCCAGCGTTACATTTGCAATAATTACCAATCTAAATTATGAATCGCGTTATTAGAGGTGCGCAGCAACAGGCGTGCGAATTGGAAATATTCGAAATTGTAATTACAATTACTGGGAAGTGACATCGGGCGACCGCACACGCGGCCCCGATTCAAATTGATTCGGCGCTCTGAGCAGGGGGCTGTGCAAAGTGGCAACCTGTGCATTCGGTGAAAATCGATCGTCGTGTCATTGGAATACCAAAACTCTCTTCAAAAGTGCACAGCCCTTCGCACCACACACGGTCGTAAATAATTGAGCAGTCAATTGATTTTAAGCGCGTGACGCCCTTTACAGTTTCCCTCTCGCCCCTGCAGTGGCTCCAAAAGCACGTTTATATATCTCCACTGACCTGGCCAGTCGGCTCGCTTTTGGGTTGTAATTACACTTAATTCGGAAACGCGTCGGTTCGTTTTAGTGCCCAGACACCTGCGACTCAAAAAATAAGTCAGTTGGAAAGAGACGGAGCAATTTGCAAAAGCATTTAACTCAACAAGTTAATCAAGTTTGTGCAATCGAGTATGATCCGGTGAAAATTACGATAATCACACGCTCCATAAACTTGACGCAGAATTCAAATTTATATCTTGCAAATGACTATAATTTCCTCTAATTATTCAAGTAAGGTTAGGAAAACGAGGAGCCATTCATATTTTGATGAAATACAGTTTTTAATGAAAAAAGTCTGATTTTTACCGATTTTTACAGGAGTTTTTCTTTATTACTTTTGTCTGGAATGGTCGTTAAGTCGTTAACCTATATACACACAAAATTTATTTTCAACACACGGGAAAACTTTATTAGGCAATATAAATCTCCCTGTAAAAAATGTGAAGAAAAATTAAAGAAGAAAAAAAAATTAAATTTAAAACAGTGGAGTTTTCAACGGAACGGGATGATCTCGGGGGTTTGGCTCTTGGGAAAGATTTGATAAAATTTTTATTTAAAGGGAGAGAAAACAGGGAAAGATTTATTTTCAAGTAAAAAATAAAGCTTGAAAATAACAAAACAAAACTAATTCAGAAGTTTTGTCTCAAATCCAAAATGAACCATTAGGATGACTTTAAAAAGTTTTCCAAGGAATCCCGGGAACAATATTAATTACGTCTGTTTACTTGTGTTTATAGTTTTTGAAATTCCTGAAACTTATAGTTTTTATTTTGCATTTATAAATACTACATCATTTAGATTTTGGCAGTCCTCTACTCTCACTCTTTCAAAAGCTGCTAATGAGCAGTTTGATAAAAATATCTTTTTTTTTAAACGTATAATCCCTGATTTATTTTTACGCCAAACTCACTTTTACCATTTGCCTTTTATTTTTGAATCGCGCTTGAACCAGCACTGCTCGGCGGCATTGAAAACATTCAGTGGAAAGCGCGTCGATGCTAATTGGATTCATTGCCGCAGATCACGCGCACCACGCACAGGACTGCTCATTTTTTTCCCAACGTTGGAGGTAAATCCGCGTGATCTCGTCCGCCTCTTTGTCGGTTTGCCTTCATTATTGTAATTTTCCGCAATTGCAGTCACAACAGAGGAGCTGTGCGGCCTAATCATATAAAAAGCATTTCATGCTGTCAGTCGCAGAAAATTATCCTCCAGAGCTAGCTCATTCCGTTCGGATACGTTTATATTTTTTTATACGTACACTTTTCCCGTTTTGTTTGCGGCAAGCTCCGTCGCTCATTCGACTCGTTATGAAGAGAAAAAAGGTAAATTCCCATGTTTCTCTGCTGCTCGCCCGCGCACAATGCGAGAAAAATCCCTTTTGATAAGCTCCGCTTTTTATGGGCACGCACGGGTGAGGTGAATAAATTAGAAGTTGAGAGAGATAAGAGAGAGTTCTCCCTCTTTTTTTGTTTTCCAAGGGACCTCTTTCCGCGTTTCATTTTTTCATTCCTGGCAAAGCTCAAAAAAGGGTGTAAATTTGGTGCGGCCAAATTCTTCAGAGAGCGGAATCAACAAAAACAGTTTTTAATGACTCGGCATCTTTACAGCTTATTTAGACTTTTATCGTCCATTTACAATAAGCTTTTTAATCTTGTAAGTGCAGTCTTATAATTTATTCCAAGAAGCCTCTCTGGGGTTCCTTTTTAATTACATGCGGAAGGATGTAAATGAAGATTTGTATTTCCTTGTGAAAATCTAACAAGATAAAATTACTAAAATTGCAGTTTTAGGGAGACTATTACTTCATTCAAAGATTATGATAGCAAAAATATTGTGTATTAATTGTTGTACGCTTTTAACAGCTACATTAAATATTATATTATTATAGATCTTTTTATTTATTATAGATAGGTCGTAGATATCATTCTCCATCTGATCAAATCCGATTTATTGAAAATTAAATGTGTGTTAAAAATTATGTCAAAAGCCAAATGGTTTCTGATTGATTCAATTTATTTATTTAATTATTTTTATTTTTTCCCTTTCTTAACCATTCTTTTTGTATTAACTTGATAGCATTGATATTGATGAATTCATTACTTTTAAACTTTTTGAAACCAATTGAAAAATATATTTTTGGCTTTTACTTTGAAGATTTTTGTATAAAAATCGGAAGCAGCATTTTTTATCTTTTTTATTTTCTCACATAGAGAGAGTTGCGCAGTCATAAATAAAAAGAATAACAAGAGAAATGAGTAAAATCTCGCGGCTCGGGTGCAGCGCAAATTGCGGAGTGATTGATCGCCGTGGATGTCAATTTCGCCGCGCCCGTTTTTCACCTGTGTTTGGTATATAATATGTACATATTATGTAATAACCGTGAGCCACTCTCACTCGTTGGCCGGGCGCTTCACGTCGTGTTTGCTCACCAGATCAACGCATATGTTCGGCTGCTGTTCCGGAGCAACCGGCAAATTTCATTGTCGGCGGAAGAGAGAATGTACTTGGAACGCCGGGAAAAACGAATTAGAAGCACTGGCCCGGAAAATCGTTCATGTCACGCATCTCTCGTGGAATCTCAATTCTCATTATCAACTGAATCAATCTCCGGAGAGTCAATTTGCTTGCTGCGGTCAAAATTCAAAATCAATAACTGGTTTTCATCTAAAAGTGGTATAAAATTTTTATATATCCGTATAAATATTTTTATGCTGATATTAAATATTTGATTTATGTTGTATATTAAAAATTCCAGGAGGCTCTTTTTATGGGAAGCAGATATTTCTATATTTTATCCATAAATTATTCACAAAATGAAAGTATACTGCAAACGGATATCTGTGTGTGAAATGTTAATGTATTCAACAAGTTGCCAATAGCGTTGTAGTATATCAACCGTGAAAGGAGGAAGCTGTGGGTGTCACTCGCCCTGCGTAATTAATTACTTAACGAAATTAGAATTTCGCATAAGGGAAAAACGGCTAAATAATAACTTTATAGTCCTAGTTTGCAATGGTTTGCAACAAAAAAATATTTAAATGTCGTTAATCTTCCGCAGTTTCATTATAAAAATTTTCACAATATTGCAAGTGTTTTTTAATTTTTTTATTTAATTTTATTAATTTTTTTTTTTTTTTGATATCAGGAAATTACCGCCCAAATACGTCACACTCAAAATAATCATCAATTCAAATCACACAGAGCAATACAGAGAGGAAAAAATCTCTTAAAGAAATCAAAATCATTTTTTTTTTTTTTGGTATTGATTGTAATATTTTTATTAAAGTGATTAATATTTGAAAACTTTTTTTACCTTAAAGTACGATAATTAATTGTTGTTATAGAAACCTTAAAAGTTATCTTCATTATTTTAAGAACAGCCGCACGAAAAAATAAAAAAAATATTAATGTATTCCTTTTTTATGACACAATAATATTACAAAATTTCGCGCTCTCTTTATTGTGATTTCTGCAAAACCATAATCTTTCAAAAAATGAATAACAATAATAATTATTTTTCACGTCTGCATTAAACTTTCTCATTTTGCCGCGTTGCCAAGCAACAGTTTGTTAGCTGCCACGCCCCCTAAATGTCAAGCACTCCGCAAATCCGCAACAACAATCGGTCGCTGCCCATAAATTCGGCATTATTTGTTGAAATCTGAAAGAAAGCGGTTGCTGTGTCCGACCGCGATGGACTGCAAGAATTTGGCCTTCGAGGCCGAGTGGTACGACGAGGAATCGGGCCTCAACAGGACCTTCACCATGATCTACTTTCCCGAGAGCAATCAGGTGCAGTTGTTCGAGCCGCGCACGAACAAGATGTTTTTGAAAAAGTCTTCGGTCGACGGGTTGAAACCGTCGGACATCTACGTCGGCAGCGAGGTCACCATCCTGGCGAGGCAGTTTTGGCTCAAGGCCTTCGGTGACGACTACACCCGCCGCGTCCTGGAATGCAAAAATGAACAGACCTTCGCCATGGTCCACCCTGACTGCGTTCGGAAAATGGTGCTGAGATTTCGATTTATTTTTTCGTCTTATTTTAATTTTTATGCTTTAAATTCAGGGCACGGTTTTTGCCGAGATCCAGAAGACAAATCTGCGCATCAGGGCGGCCACCCTGGCCAAGCTGACCGAGGCGCAGGCCCTCGAGTTCTACCGCGAGCACACCGGAAAGCCCTTCCTGCCCGCCCTGGCGCAGTACCTGACCTCGGGGCCGGTCTTGGCCCTACAGCTGCAGGGAGAGGGCGCGGTCCGAATTTGGCGCGGCATGATTGGCGACACAGACCCTGCCGAGGCCCAGCCGGACACCCTGAGGGCTAGGTTCGGCACCAGCAAAACGCAGAACGGCTTCCACGGCTCGGACACCAAGGAGGACGCGATGCGAGAAATCAACTCTTTCTTCCCTGAGAATGACCGCACTGACCACCGCGTCGCACCAATCACCTCCGCCCACCTGAAGTGTGTGAAATTTATTTTCAAAATTATATAAAAAAATTTACTGGAATCAATTTCTGTTCAGGGACTGCACTTGTTGCATTGTGAAGCCACAGGCCTTTCTCGATGGAAAGCTCGGCCCCATCATTGACAGCATATTCGAGGCCGGCTTCAACATTTCCGGTCTGGAAGTGATTCGATTTAATAGGGTCAAAGCGTCTGAATTCCACGAGGTCTACAATGGGGTGCTCTACGAGTTTGCAGACATGGTCGCCCAACTGCAAGCTGGACCTTGTGTTGCGCTTGAGATTACATGGTAATTAATGTAATTTATTTTATCAATTTTATAATATAATTTGCTGATATTTTTAATACCTGATAAGATAAGAAATAATTTGAAGAAAAAATCACGCTATATTTATTGATTACGGCGATTTAGATTTACTTTTTAAGCAGATTCTAGAACCAATATATTTACTGAGTGAGAATAAATTATTTTAAGTATTTAAACTTAATAAATAAATAGGAATAATGATTTCTGAAGTTTTGAATTAATTTGCGCTCAAAATATTCTGAATTCAGTATAGCACGGTAGCGATAGCGATGGTTACGTTGTGAATTTTACACCATAATCTGTAGTTGTCAGGATGGCCGAGCGGTCTAAGGCGCTGCGTTCAGGTCGCAGTCTGGTTCTCCAGGCGTGGGTTCGAATCCCACTTCTGACAAACTTTTTTAACTTATTTTTATATGTGATATTTGCAGTGGTCTTTTAATTCTTAAACTTTTCTATAAATAATTATTTTGTACTTCGGAGTAGCTAATGGCATTATTTTTATTTAAATTATGAAACAGGCCAAGGACTTTGATGCCAGGCCGCGATCTGATTACTCAAGAGCCCATGTCCGAAGGCGACAACTCCAAGTTCAAACACGCCAGCCAAGACATTGTGCTGGCCTTCAGGGCGCTCGTGGGACCTTTCGACCCCGAGCTGGCTCGAAAATTGCGGCCCAACTCTCTGCGGGCCAAGTTCGGGGAGGACAAAGTGCGTAACTCTGTGCACTGCACCGATTTGCCCGAGGACGGCGTGCTGGAAGTGGAATACTGCTTTCAAATCATGAGGAGATGAATTTCTTGCCGCCGAGCAAGTGCTGGCTGTGACGCTGAATAAATATTTGATCACAAGTTGGAAACGTGCTGATGGGCATGATTTTAATTGAGTTTTCTCATCGCAACTATTCGTGCTTTTGCACCTGGCTATTTATTTTGCACTTTGTCTGTGTTTACCATGTAAATCATTAAATTAATTGAGTACTTTCTGAATGATATTAGTTTTCTTTGAAAGTTACCTCGGATGTAGAATTTTCCTTTTTACGGGGGAAAAAATTCCTGGTAGAAGAATTTCCTCTTCATTGAAATATTAATTAGAATGTCTCTACCGCTCTGCATAATATAACGCATCACAAAGGTGCATGTCGGCTGAGCACTCTTGTACACGCGATGTACATTTACAGATAAAGAGGGGAAAATCCCTATTGTCCTAGAAAGTAGTACGAGTGATGGAGCTTTGTGACCTGTATTTTATTTAAAATTAAAAGGGTGCAAAAGGGCTCTAAAAGGAAGAAGTACTTATTTTACATAGAGTATTTTAAAAGCTCTATGTAGCTAACTGAATATAAAAAGATTTTTAAGGTGGAAGAAAAGAAAAAGGAACATGTTGTACAATAATTAATTAATTTAAGTCATTTCGCTACAATTGCCTTCTATTGGCATTTAACAATTTTTCTTTTAATTTAATTATACCGTATATGTTTTTCATAAAATTTTGTATGGGACTGATTTTCAATATTGAATTTAACGTCACTTTATTTCAAATCAGTTTGTTTCTTCAAAAAAATTATTGCTTAAAGTAATGAAATTTTAACTAACTATTTACAAACTTCAAAAATGTCAATGTTGAAAATTCTCTTCAAAAAGAAAATAAAAGAGCTCAAAAACGTTCATAAATGAAAAAAGTCTGTATTTTTTTTTATAGAAAAATAGGGTCTCTAAATTATCTCAAATGCTTTATATATAGAATATTTCAAAACAGTTTTTTTATAAGTCAAAAGTGTTTTGAACCAAAATGAGACAACGATCCACTGTGACAATTAATTTTGAAACTAATTAAAGTCAGTCGTTGATGCTATTAATTAAATATACGGAGCCATTTTATCGAACCTTTTTTTTAGTTTTTAAAATAACAGGACCTGAACTTTTTTTGTCCTAGTCAAATTAGATTTTGGCGGTTGAATGACTTGAATGGTTCAAGGGTCAAAGGTTAAATCAAGTTCGAAATTTCCAAACGGTTTCACAGCAACCTGTGCCCCATTGTGCAAAATTCTCTTGCGACCTAAACAATCAGCGCAATCGGAGCTGCTCTCTGCGTGCGTATTATAGAACAATGCAAACATGAAACATCAAACGCGCAGTGCGTCTCGCAGTGCACACACAAAACACACAGATGTGTCCAGTCAACAAAACGTGATCTATTTGGCAACGGCCGACTTGGCACTGTCAATGACAACTGCAAACTAATGAACAATGGTGGACGTCGCCGAGCAACACGTGGTTGCCTGTAGGTCCTCTTCCTTGGAAAACTGACACCCACGCAGGGAGTGTTCTTTCAAAGGGAGAAATGTGATGCAGATAGTTGGCGTGATCAAAGCCATGACCAAAATCATTTCTTTGAATGCCCGGGGGCGCCTCTCTCCTTCTTTTATCCTGGCTGAGGCTTCACCATGAAAGCTGAAGTTGGAGGAAATACTTTTCCTTTTACCAAATCCACCTTGCAAGAGAGTTCTTTTAATAGAATTTGAAAATTATGTTTCTGCTTTTTGATGTAAAAAAAAGCAATATTTTCATTTTTTTTTAATTTGAATGTTTTTTGCAAACTTCTTACTATTGGTAGTTCAATTGTGCCCAACAAGCGCTAATTTTCATTAATAATATTTTTTCTGAAATTAAAAATTTATCAGAAACGCAATTTATTGTGGAAATTCTAAAGATAATATTGAAATTATTATCCTATCTGTGCAAAATGCTGATGAAAATTTTAAATTTCTTCTTCTAGATCGCATTCGATTTCAAAACATATTTTATAAATAAATCACAGCTACGTGAGATTTCCAAATTTAATTTGTTATTCAATATTCGATTCATTTACTGCCGTGCAGGGTGCGCTGTAATTAGAGACAACGGGAATTAATATGGCCTTCAGTAATAACTGTGCAATGCTCCATACCAAACGCAATTACAAAATCAGCCGTGATCTCGCCACCGAATTCAAGGATGCAAGAGAGTGCTAAACGCTAAATTAGTTGCCAGACAATGAGCGCGATGGAATTAATAATAGGCTGTGTTGCGAGAGACTCAAAACTCTATGTAACCGCACGGCTGCAGAGAACACACCCCTGGACTTTGCTGTGCGGCGCAGCACACAATTCAGGCGCAATACTAACCGCGTCGAGCGGGGCGTAATTCATTCGGGCATAAATTTGCATGTGTAGTCCCTCGCTCTCCCGGCGCAGGGGTTAAAATAAACAAAACACATTGTGATAATCGAATTAGGCGTGGTGGTGTGCGGTGCAATCTTGGCACAGGCGGGTGTTCGTGACCGGGAAAATGATGGTCTCGCTCGTATGAAATACTACGGGTTAAACTCTCCTGCCCGCTTTTGATTACATTAAAATCATGTTGACCAGCACCACTTTGCATTTAAATAAATAAATAAATCAAATAAATTTGTGAATACACTTTTTTATTTACGTTGCCGACCATCACAATGAGTATATTTAAATTCTGTTAAAATTGTGTTTTCCTTTCTAATTTTAGAAGTTAAAATAGTGAGCAAGTCAAAATAATTCCTCCCCGAATTCTTCTATTGCGGCATTCCTGAGATGTTGAAATTGAAATTTTTGCTGAAAAATAAATTCGGTCAAACTAAAGAAAACATCGCCGAATCGATATTTCTATGCAAATCCGCCTAGCTAAAATTTCTCTTTTACAAAATTTTTATAAGTGATATAAATTCAGCTTCCATTTCATTTCCGACTTGATGTTTTTTTTTATTTTTCACTATCTACAATCGGTAAGAAGGCAGTTCCTTCCTATTGGAGGCACGAAATTTAATCGCGTGGGAGTTCTTCCTACGTCGTTGACAACCTTGTAGCCGAAAGCAAATCCATTCATATACAGATCTAACTTCTGCCTGGAGCTTTGAATGATTCATGAGCTCATAGCAATAATGCGCCCTCATTCGTCTCCATTCCTTCCTCTTCCCCAACTTCTTTGAGGTGAAAAAGGCCCGGCGCAGAATTTTCGTCTCGGGATAATGCAGGGAGAGGGTCTGCTGCCAAGCTTCCCGAATAAATAAGACGACGTGCGAGAAGCGAATCACAACGGATATTTAAGCTTGCATGACTGACTCCTGTTTTTTCCTCGCTCCACTCTCCTCAAATACGGATACGAGGAGGCAAAATGGAGCTAGCGCACAATAAAACCGTGGGCCCTTGAGGAAGATATTGTGAACGGATTTGGGTAGTGACAGAAGGAGGAAAGAAATGTGAAGATGAAGAGATTTGCAAACTGAATTTTCTTCAAGGAAGTCGAAGTTTTGATTGAGGAAAATTTATTTTGAAAGGCTTTTCTTGGATTTTCCGCATTCAAAATTCTGTTTGCAAATATCTCCATCTTCACACTGCTTTCCTCATTTTGAACAATAAATTTTCTGCAAAGAAGAAAATAATACTAATAATTCAAAGAATAAAAATGCATATTAGCAACATTATTTAAAAGATCAATAGGAGCAAACGAAAGCTAATTAAATGTTTCAATAATTAATACCTCTCTGTATCACTTATTGGCAATCATATATATATGCAATCAACTTAATGCAAAACACTCAATAGACATGACCTTTCAGTTTGATCTTTTGAATCACAAAAAGCTCCAATGGGACCAGAATTCAATATTAGCACTGCAAAATGAGAATCAACGTTTGAATAATTTGCTACCGCATATCGCTTTGGGTCGTTTGGCCGTGAAATCAGTTGAAAAGGTCAAAAGTCAAAATTTATTTGAAGCCTGATTGATATAAAATTAATTCCAATATTTTGATTCAAAGCAAATTGATTAATAAAACCACGTTTTTTTTGTATGATGGAAATACGTTTAGTGCCAATTAATAAAAGTTGTCAAAAGTATTTGGCTGAAGTCAACAAATCTCTTTTTCATTATTATAAATTTATTATTCTTTTCTAATCTTTTGAAATTTTTATCATTCAAATTCTTCCTTTCGCTTGCCTAATCAAATACAATCTCTCCGAGCATTATTGTACAGAACTAATTCACAGATTAATACTCTTAATTGCATGGATTAATCTCAGCAACGAGGTAATGATAAATTACTGCACAAAGTGACGCGTGTCTCTTAAAGTAAACCACCCGTTTCGTATCTTTCCACCCTTTCGAGTCGAGACACCTCATCATTTCACCTCTCTCGTGTCCTCTATCATCCCGGTGAAAATTAATTACTTCTCAACACTGCCCCTCTCTGTAGTGCTGGTCTTTTCTCCTCCATCTCTTCTCGGCGAAATAACGGCTGGGTGGATTCACGGCACGTTTTTCGCGCGAGGCCGCCGCGTGTGTGCGAGGGAGGACCAAGGAGAGAAGCGTCGTCGTCCTACTCGGTCGGTTCGACTCGCTCTCTCTCTCCACACCGGGGCTAAATCGATTGAGCGGCCGGGGTGTAGTATAGGCAGCCGAGCAGCACAGACGACGTGCGCGGTGTTATACCTTTTCACTTTAGCCCGCGGCCCCAACGCTCTCGCTAAACAAATAAACCGAGAGGGTAAGCGGGCCTCGGCGTCGCAGGACTTAATTCACCTCGCCGTTTTTTTCTGCGGAACAGCCAGTTTTTTTCTAGACGTCTCGCGAGTCGAATTTATCCTTCTCTGAATAAAGGGGCACTTGTTGATGCTCGCTCTCTAAATCAAGGATAATCAGTCAGTCGCGACCAATTTGTTAATGGAGAATGGGATGAGACGGAAATTGGTGGCTAATTAAGTTGAAAGGCTGAAATTCGGAGGTGATTAATTGCAGTGCAGGCTTCCATTCTTTTTAAACAAACAAGAAAGAAATTTGAAATAACAAGTCTTTTTTGTAATTTGTATTCCAAAAAATAATTTCTGTTGAAAATTTGAACTGGATTTATTTTTAAATATTTCATTAAACTTGGAATTACATATATTTTGTAGGATGCTCATTTTTTTTTATTTGCTTAC